CCTCGTTAGAGTATATAATAAATTTAATTACTAAGTGCTTCTTTTAATCCCTCAAATGACTTCAGTTTGACTTTCACACTCAAATGACTTTCACACTTTGTTTTAAAAATTGCACTTCAGTCATTTAATTTAAGGTCAATTTCGTTTATATTGTGATAATTACTCGTAATATAGTTATGACTGTTCTTGGTATTTAAAGATGCACTTTAGTAATTTATTTATTAAAGTTGCTGTTTATCAATAATGGTTACTATTAATAGTACACTCTAAATTAAATGACTAAAGTGCTTCTTGCCACCCTTGGTCGTTTTATCTACAGTACGTTTCAATTACAACGAAACATTTTTAATGTACTCTGTAGATTTAAAGACTAAAGTGCTTATTTTAATTCCCTGAGCAACTTTCACTCTCTGGATGCACTTTAGTCATTTATCTAAAGTAAGTTTCAATAGCACTAATTCATTGCACCTTGAAGATTTTTCCTCATAATAGTATATTGCTGTTGTAGATTTAGTGATTTAAGTGCATCTTTTAATCGCTCGCTAATATTAAAATTTGCACTTTGGTCACAGATATGCGGTAAAAATAATAACGAGCACCGAGAAAGCATGCATCAACTTTAGGGAAAGTTAATTTAAATAAACGGATACCTTATAATCCGATGGAGGAGAGGGAGTGAAGTTGTTATTCGGAGGCAATTTGCGTGGAACTGTCTGTGCGAGAGCATAAAATTGTTAACCCCTCGTAAAAAGTGGAAGAGACAACTGGGATTGGGGATTTGCTTGCAAAACATTACCCCCATATAAATACGTATTATAAAAACGAAGGCAGGAGGCGAAAGAACGTGGAGATCGCGGTGACAGATGGAAGACGGTTGTCTTTTTGTGGTCTAATCAACACGTTATAAATGTGCATTTAGATTCGCCACATTTCCGTGGTAGATGTTCGGTATCCAATTTAAGGAGAGCAAAGGATAAGGCTCAAGAAGGAGATCGGGACGCTCTCTTTATCTTGAGGAACATTGCGCAGGGAGCAAACAGTCGACAGCCAATATTTTATTCATGGTTTTCTACTGTTGGTTCATCATCAATATTAGACGTGCCGGGTGCTATGTCGTGTACCGTGCCTTCTCCTTCGCATTCTCTAGGTTATGTGATTCGATAAAAAGGCCTTCCTTTTACATTTATTTCACGGTCTGTCTGTTTTCAAACGTCATTACTCGCCCGTTGTTCCCTTCCGCGCCATCTATTAATTAATTGCTCGTTGTGAATACGCGCAAAACTTTAATAATCGATATTGGCTAAATCTACTTCCGCACAAACAATAAACGTAAGTCGAAATATGCTTTGTTTCAGAGATACAGAGTGTTTAATTTTAATTTTATATTTATTTTTATTAATTATTTCAAAGAGTTTTAAAGATATTGACTCGAAATTTGAAACACGCTTTGGAGGGATAAATGGTCATTTTTTGGGGCTATCCGAATATTTCTACTTGCACCAGTGGCGTTCGTGCGAGAATGCCACTACTTTTTTTAATAAAAAATAAATGGTACACTTTTTCCAGTTTTGAAATTTTTTAGAAATCCGCCATTAATTCTGAATGAAATTGGTCTCTTCAATTTTTTTTCGTAGGATGTACCGTTTTTGAGGAAAAAAATAAAACATATTTTATTGCACGTTGCGTATTTTTAATTTCTATTGATCTAGTAGGTTGCTGTCGATATTTCTAAATAAAATACAACCATCAAATTTCGAGTCAATATCTTTAAAACTTTTTGAAATAATTAATAAAAATAAGTAAAAAAAATAAAATTTAAACACTCTGTGGGTATCTTGAAAACGAATCATATTTCGACCTACGTATATAAGAGTTTTTTTTACAAAACACCCCCTAAAATATTTCGCACTTATTTACAAACACCCTGTATATTACGGTTACGTTATATCCATATATGATTTTCATACGTTTAGAACTCAAAGCAAATTGAACAGCAGAAAAATATGATATCCATATGATATCTTCCATACACAAAAAAATTACAAGGAGCTGTCTTTCACTATTTTGAGTGATGGTTTTTGCATTAGTTTAACGGAGAAAATACCTATGGTTATGTCCACAACAATCAGTCGACTCATTTTAAGCTACCAACAAGGAAAATGTAGTGTTTAATCTGTAGGCGTTAGCACTTTAGGAAAAAATCCTGTCAAAATATTGTCAGTTTTTTAAAACTAGAAAATCCAGAAACTGGCCAGTCATTTTGCAGACCAGTACCTATTTTTATAGCAGATTGTGGTACAAACATCACTACTTTGAAGCGCTTTGAACGTTGAAAAAGAGACAAAGTAGTTGAATGATATGTGGAAGATTCTCTTCAACAGAGAATCAAGATTGGGAAGAACATTTTGAACGATTGCTAACGCTGCTTCTACTACTGCTTGTTTTATTGTTATTTCCGACGCTACCCCTTCTACTCACAAAGAAAATTGTGCTAGTTTAGACCGTTGAAGCCAATTTTACAATCCAACTTTTCATTTTAGTAATAAATAGTTAATTGTTTAATGTTGGTCTCTTTATTTAAATTATAATTATTTTACTAGTGATTCAAACAACCCCGCACAAAATCAATGGAAAATGGGTCCCAGTCGATTTTGCTGAAATTGCAATATGTTGTAGTTTTTGACTTTCTGATCCAAAAGTTGTTATGGGCCCAAAGTGATTCTATGAATAGTTTCAGAGATAAAGAGGGGGAAGTATGCAATTTTGGCTGTAGTCCTGAGTAAGCTTCACGAAGTTTTAAGTTGATGGATTGAAAAACTGAATGAATGAATTTTGACCAGTAGGTACAATGCTTTTGGGATCGCTGAACCTGAATTCGGGGATAGCTTAGCTATCTAAGGTCACCTGGAGGTCAGGTAAAGGTGTACTTTAAATAATCTCACTTTTATAGTCATACCCATAAAACAAAACCCATACATCATTCACACAGATACTCACACATATACACATCCTTAAACATTTACATACATACACACACACATACATACACGCACGCCTCGTACACTCACACAGTCGCACATGTACGCACACGCGCACACATACAGACACTCATACATACGTATAAACAGAAATAAATTAGATTAATCTGGAAATATAAACAATCTGCTCTTTTCAGTTGATTAAAAAGTACTCAGTTCGTTTCATGCGAGGCTTGAATTGAGATTAAATTAAATGAAATGACCTTGACTTGATTGCAGGTGACCTTATAGGTAGGTATAATCTATCCCCGACTTCAGGTTCAGCGACCTCAAAAGCATTACAGGTGAAAGGCTTTTTCTTTACTTTAACCTTGAAATGTTCTTGGCTTGACCTAAATGTGACCTTATAGGGCTAAGCTATCTTCAGTTCCCCCCAAAAAAACATATACGCACTGGTTGAAATTCAATATAAGCCTTTTCTTTAGTTTGATCTTGAAATGACCTTGAATTGACTTAAAGGTGACCTTTAGGGTTACGCTATCTTCAGATTCACATTCTGCGAGCCCAAAAACCTATACACTCACTGGCCAAAATTCAATACAAGTCTTTTCATCAGTTTGACCTTGAAACGACCTTTACCTGACCTGCAGATAACCTTACATAGCTAAGCTATCCCCAAATTCAGGTTCAGCGATCCAAAAAGCTTTGTACCTACTTGCAAAAATTCATTACATGCCTCAGTTTTTGAATTCATCAACTTCGTGAAGCTTACTCAGGACTACAGCCAAAATCACATATTTCCTCTTTATCTCTGAAACTATTCATAGGATCACTTTGGGCCCATGACAACTTTTGATCAGAAAGTCAAAAACTATAACGTACTCCAATTTCAGCAAAATCGACTGGGACCCATTTTGTAAAACACTGCAACTGTTGGACAAATTATCTAATCTGCTATTATTATTTTATTATGTTGGTGTTAGCGAACTTGGGGATTTATTTTTAATGGATAGGTTTCGAGAACGGAACCGAAAGTATCGTACCATTTCTTCGACTCGGTATCTATGAAGCTAAATTGCTTTCAGCCAAAATGAATATTTCTAGTTGATTTTTTAACATGCATAAATTCCCGTATCCACGGCAGTAAAATTCCATCTGCTAGTTATAAATTTCCTTTATGAAACCCATATCTTTCCCCGAGGCCGAATCAGTCAATATATTAAAATATTATGTATATTATAAACATTGGTTTTAAGGGGGAGCCGGGTAAACGTTAACGCCGCTTTGTTTATTTCGGGCACGTCTGAGACATTTTTCTTTTTTCAGTTGGCGTGATACCCATCTAATTGATGACGAATTCTCCGAGTTCCCGGTCTTAGTTGGTGGAAAAACTGAGTACAGGGACAACATATAAATAAAAAAAAAATGGAAATATTGTCCTTTTTAATTACATTTGCTATTCAGTCCTGTAATACCTTTTAAGATGAGCGGAGGGTTAGGAGGAGTGATACTTTTTTTCAGGGCTCTTAGCTAATTGCATACGTCAAACTTCAGGGGAAAGGGTATAATAAAGCACTCTTACGGTTCTTTCGCGATGCTTTCTTGTTTTTATCATACCACCACTCCGCCTAATTTAAGCTAATGCTACAACTGTACTTGCTTTCTCAGTTAGCCACATTAAAAAGCCACATGTCCATCATATGAGAATTTTCTTTTATTAATTTCCTTTTACATAAAAAATGGAGCCATTGAAAAACTATTTCTCTCTGAATTATTACCAACTTTTAAGCATAAACTAAACAAATCGAATTTTAGTATAAATTGACTCAGTTCGTGTATTATTTTTGTTTAACAATAAAAAATCGGCAACAAGGGGAACTGTTGAATTATTAAAAAAAATAATGTGCGTCTAGCTGTATCAAGAGGGCTTTTAAAACGCCCCACATACTATTTGCCGTACGAAATCGTTCGATATCCATATACATATCAAATAAGGAAGGCTTAGATGAAGAGAGCACTTACCCAGGACGAGGGCAAAGATGAAAACCCTTCGCAGGTCCATTTAACAGGCTCTCACACTAACATCGCTGTATCTGAAATCAAAATTATTTTACATAGTGAGAGTGCCATTACATTCGTCAGAACATGTTTAATTTTTCGTACTGTACAAAGAAAATTACTTTTATTACTTCGTTACCTATTTTTAAATTAATATTAGCGGAAATCAATTATATTAAATCAAAACAATTTTCAATTACAGTTGGCTACGAAAATTAAACAATAGAGAAGCAGAACCAACGCTCATACAGAGAAAGTTTAATTATTTATTCATTTATTATTAATTAATTATTAATTAATTAATTAATAATTAAAATCGTACTATCTAATTACTTTACAAATAGATTTTTTATATCAGTAATAATAGCATCAAATATATCAAATTGTTCTTGGATAGCAGTGTAATTTTGGCACATATGGGCGAAAACTTCAAGGCATTTGTTCGAGGAGTAGAACGATAAAATGTCCTAGTTTCGTGTTTCAAAGGTAGACACATGATAATTTAACATGTGTAATATACAGGGTGTTAATGAACTTATGTCAAAAATTTAAAGCGTTGAAAATGGAGCAAAAACTGAGTTACCTGAAGTTTAAGGTCATACAGGAAAAAGCTAATTAAAAATGTGCTTAAAACTGTTTTGGAACTGCTGAAACACATGTATTTTATCTCGGCCAATACTTACACAAAATTCTGTAACACTATTTACGAGTTTGTAGGTTTCTTATGAAGCCGGACTGTATCCGAACGTCAGTTTGTAATACATTGTTATAGTGATTGCTGTGATGTTTTTCGAGAGTACATTTAATAGAGTAGATTAAATAGATCGATATCATCAAAGCCTATAGAAAATCAAATTAACAATCCTAAATCTTTATAAGCAGACAAAACAATATTCTCAATATAACCACTAAAAGTTAATTTTGAGTCAAACTTTACACCCAAATCAACAGTATCACTGACTCTATGCAAGACTTCTCACTTCAAATTATAATTAAAAAGCGTGACATTTTTCCTGCATAAGAATGGAAAAAAATCAGCACTAACAAATCGTCCTTTTAGAATTCGTGGGAAGCCATAGGTACAAATTGCAGAAATGTTTTAGCGGGTTAGGTGTTAAATATAAATTTTGGTAAATATTGATTGCGATGTAGTACTGGCGGTCCTTTAAATAGGTCTAGCTCTATGAAAATTGTATGCCCCCGTTAATATATCTGCTGATCCTAGAACGAAATACGCCGGATCACATTTCAGTTCTGGTTAAATTCCAATTACTGTACATAGTTGCGGCATTTCATATTCTAACTGCAATTAAAGTTGTTCCCTTAAAGCATCTAAAACCATGTTACATAGAATTCATAAATACGAAGCCTGTATTTGAGTCGGCACAAAAAATATTATACATATATTTTACAAATTCCAAAAAAAATACCATTAGTTGCCATAACCAGCGAAATCCACTGCGTAAAATAAAGTACTTTACGCATTTTATTTCTGGTTTCTTCTAGATATTCTGGTTTTATTTCCAGTTATGGTTATTTTTATTTCTGGTTAAAATTATCGTAAACTTATCAACAACTTTTCAGACGCGATAAAAATAAAGTAGCAACACAGAAATTTTCAAAATTTTAATTGAACCCTCGTAGGTAATAACAAAAACACCCTCACTTACATAGAGAGATCTGAAAACAGGTGAAATAAATGTGTTAGTTTATTACAGTGCTGAAGCTCCAACGGTGTCAGTATGTAAATGCGGATATTAATTATTCTGTTGGATGAAATGATAGCGTAAAATTTGGTAATTGAATATTTAAAACTAGTCGGGCAGGGGTATTAGGCACGAAATAACACTGGCCTACATGCATAGATATATTTACACTCGGCAGTCTATCTGTAATTCATTAGGTATTATAAAAGATATAAAAATTAATACTGAAAAATATATCTTCTGTACGATTGTGCGTAGAATCTAACTTTACGTACGCTGTGCGTAAAGTACATTCTTCAGTCTGTAATTCAATAGGTACTATGACGAATATAAAAACTAATACTGAAAAATATATCTTCTGCATTATCTCGCGTAAAATGCTAACCTTACGTACGCTGTACAGTACGCATTACTGGGAAAAGTGCCTTTCTTCAGTCAAGAGAAAATTTTCTCATTTTCTCTGCTACCGCGCGTTAGATTCGAACTTTACGCACGCTGTACATTACGTTTTAGTTCCTAAAGTACCTTTTCCAGTAAGTACTTAAACTAACTATATACCACTATTGTATCTGTAATTCAATAGGTACTCTAAAGGATATAAAAATTAATACTGAGCAATATATCTTCTGCATTACTTCGCTTAAAATGCTAAGTTTACGTATGCTGTACAGTACGCATTACTGCGTAAAGTACCTTTTTTCAGTCAAGAGAACATTCTCCCGTTAATACTGAAAAATATATTTTCTCTGTTACCGCGCGTAAAATTCCAACTTTACGCACGCTGTGCATTACGCTTTAGTGCATAAAGAACCTTTTTCAGTCAGTAATTAAGCTAACTATATACCACTATTTATCTGTAATTAAATAGATACTCTAAAGGATATAAAAATTAATATTGAGAAATATATATTCTGCATTACTTCGCTTAAAATGCTAAGTTTACGTATGCTGTACAGTATGCATTACTGCGTAAAGTATCTTTTTTCAGTCAAGAGAACATTCTCCCGTTAATATTGAAAAATATATTTTCTCTGCTACCGCGCGTGAAATTCCAACTTTACGCACGCTGTGCATTACGTTTTAGTGCGTAAATAACCTTTTTCAGTCAGTAATTAAGCTAACTATATACCACTATTTATCTGTAATTAAATAGGTACTCTAAAGGATATAAAAATTAATATTGAGAAATATATCTTCTGCATTACTTCGCTTCAAATGCTAAATTTACGTATGCCGTAGAGTACGCATTACTGCGTAAAGTACCTTTTTCAGTCAGTACTTAAACTACTTATATACCACTATTGTATCTGTAATTCAATAGGTACTTTAAAGGTTATAAAAATTAATACCGAGAAATATATCGTCTGCAGTACAGTACGCATTACTGCGTAAAGTACCTTTTTTCAGTCAAGAGAAAATTCACTCTTAATATTGAAAAATTTGTTTTCTCTACTACTGCGCGTAAAATGTTTACGCTGTACATTATTATTATCATTATCTTTTTCATTCAAGGAAATCCATAAAAATATTTTTTTCTAGCACTGTGCATAAAATACAAACTTTACGCTTCAGTGCGTAAAGTACCTCATTCAAGGGCAAGTTCTTCCCGTTAATGGTAAAAATTACTTTTCTTTTACCTCCCGTAAAATGAAAACTATACATGTGTACATTACGCATTACCTTTCTTAAAAAAGTTATATTAAAAAGTTCAATACTAACCATTTAATAAATATAGCATCATTTTGGGGTAAAGAAGTTTTGATATGACAAGTACATATATCTTTCATATTATCATGTCGTATAAGTTTAAACTATTTCAATGACGGTAAAAGGTTGTAAGTATTTTTAAGTATGTAATGGAATGGAGGAAAAGGTGGTCAATTTATTTTCTTTACAGTTCTGAATTCGTGGTTCGTGAAAATGTATTATTAAAATGTTACATATATGTATACTGTCGCACGCGAACGAAATTGGAAATATGTTTTTTGATTTCTCCAAATAATTGGTAGCGGTTTTGAGGTTTTCATGCAATATTCAATGCGGGTTAGGAAAACTGATACCTGTTCTGTCGAATTTAGGATGAAATCGATTTGTGGGAAAACAAACGAATTAATTTTCTCTAAACACGGAAAAGCTTACATGCCATGCCCATTGCTGCTTACATAAGTTAAGAGTGTAAGATTTAAGTAAAAAAACTGCGGTTAGCTCACGTAAAAAAAATACCCAGCAGTAGTCTGAAGGCTAGGAATCTGTTTCTGGAAATTGTTGAAACAGAAGAGAATAATGTAATTTATATATTTATTTATATACCAATAGCAAATCCTGTGACACACATACATATTCATATATTTAGATGACATGAGATTTGCATACATATACTTTGTTATCAATGTTGTTCCATTTGTGTATGGTTATTCAGTATTTACCTACAAATATGTTGTGGCTTGCACAGTAAGAGAGGGTTTCATTTTAGTATGATAAATTACAGTCTCAAATCTAATGGTGACTATAAGCGGTTATGATATACAGGGCGTTTTTACAAAATCTATCTAACAGAAAGTGTTCGATAAAACCGATCAGTAAATAAAGAAGTGGTACAAAAATCTGTAGGATTCAAAAATACATCTTCTTTGCCTGTCTGACAAATAAAACAGCCACACAAAAAAAGTAGTGTGTACTTTTCACGAATCCGGTGTCAGAATTGAGCTATCACATCACAGGAATTTTCTAACCTCAAAAACAGGTCAAAAATAGCAAAACTTCACGAAAAACATAATGGATTGGTAAAGAATATCCACGCCCCAAGAAAGAAGTCAGTCTCGATCCAATGTCAGTGATGCTCACTGTTTTTTTGACTTTAATGGAATCGTGCATTTTGAATTCTTGCTTCAAGGTTGTGCCGAGACACATGATTCTTGCGCACGCACACTCAATTCACACTTGTCAATTCGTCAATTTTGTACAGAAAATCAGATTACTGTCCTTTCTCACAATCCTTACTCACCAGACCTGGCTCCTTGCGGTTTTTTCTTGTTCCCGAAATTCAAATCAGTACTAAAAGGACGTTTTCAGACTTAAATAATTAATAGTAAAGTTTAAAAAAATAATGTTCGGTTATTTTCTGAACAGACCCCGTACAAGATGATAATGGAAGTACTACTGCTGCAATATAAGAAAACGTTCATTGGCTCGTATGAGTATTCACTGTATTACATTAATCGATTTCGGTGTATTTGCTTTTAATTACTGCATTGTTATTTTACTGTAGGAAGTTTTCAGAACCTTTTCTGCCCGCAGTGTTCAGCGTTAATATAATTCGCA